ACCCCATTTCCCAGGACTGTGGTTCTTAGTCATCATTATGCACAAGACAGGTGAAATCAGATATGGGGTCAAAGCAGAAAAAGAGCATTGAGTGAAGATTCCATTTGCAGACTTGGACAGATTCTTCTCCAAGTCTAATGATTGCACAGGTCTCCTTTGATCAAGGAACCTTTCATCAGAAGATGCTGATATAAAGTAAGAGTTCCTTGTACGTGGACAAAATGCTAATGATCAGCCAAAAAAAAGTTCTAAATATTTGAGAAGTCCCAGTAGATTGTTGCAAATGAATGAGAAGAAATGAATGTATCTCTCTAAGACCGATATCTTGTAGAAGATGGGAGGTGTGTCATTCCCAAACCTAGATGACAACTGTCAGAAGAGAGTGGTAAGCAGTTTCCGATACAGGTCCCTGTGGATTTTGAAACTTAGGTGGAAGAGTAGGGTGCTCTGAGTTCAAGAAACAGAGAGGAGAGCTCCAAATCAACAAGGAATCTGAAACTTGATGTCCTCAGTGATTGGGTTTAGAGAGAGTTCCTTCTGGTCCCTGCTGGGTTATGGTGTTGAAATATATTATTAAAGAAAGAAGGAAAAGATCAGAGGGGAGAGAGCGGGGGCAGCAGGGGAGATCAGAGATATGGGCTACATTTCCCAGGACTGTGGTTCTTAGTCATCATTATGCACAAGACAGGTGAAATCAGATATGGGGTCAAGGCAGAAAAAGAGCATTGAGTGAAGATTCCAGTTGCAGACTTGGACAGATCCTTTTCCAAGTTTAATCACTGTAGAGGTCTCCTGTGATCAAGGACCGTTATCAGAAGATGCTGAAATAAAGTAAGAGTCCCTTATATGTGGACAAAATGCTAGTGATCAGCCAGGCAGCTTCCAACACCTACAGACAGGTCCCCAGGGATTTGGAACCTATGTGCAGGAGCAGGGTGCTCTGAGTTCAGGAGACCAAGGAGAGGGCTCCTATCAACAGAAAATCTGAAACGTGAAGGGTTCCAATGGTAAGATCAACTCAGGTATTCACGTGGACTGTTCCTCAGAGGAATGGGGAGAATCCAAAGGAAAGTTGCACTCTTAGAAAATTGGATTGCTAGAAGGCTCAGAAAATGCAGAGAAGTTTCTTCTGCCCAGCGGTGAAGATTATTAGTACCCATATGTCAGCCCTCACGTCTCTGGGGAGATAAATTCTGCCCTGTGATATAGCAGCATGGGGCTTTGGCATGGCATCCCCGGCCACTAACTATCCCTTACATTCCTCACCATAGATGATGAAGAAGGGATTGAAGGGTATGAGCCTTCTAATATAAAACTCTCCATTACCAAAAAGAAGCTTGGTGAACTTCATGTAGGCATCAACTAGTGCTGTTAATTAAATGCAAATGTGATGGTGAGAGTCAGTGATTTTTTTCATGGATCACAGGCAGTGGTAATGCATCTGATGGTGGTCCTTGCAGTGAGTGGGTAGGTCTGGCTCCACCTAAGGTGCCCTCCTGGATTGGCAGATGGCCACCATCTTGTCCTGGGATCACTTGGTATTCTCTCTCTTTTCTCCAAC